CGTGAGCACCCAGAACTCCATTCATTTGCGTGGATCATTCAGTCAGTTTTTGCCCGCTTAGCATGCAGAGCACGGCGCAAGGCCCTGAACTGAGAAAATGAACAACTGAATGCGAACCAACTCGTTTCCGCGTAAATTGCATTTTAAAATAAATTATAATGATTATTATGTTGCAAACAACAGATGTCAGCCGCCGCGCCCTTTCTCTGCGACACGCCAAAAGTGGGGTTGAAGCTGGGAAAAAAAAAACTCTGCCATGGCCTCTATTCTGCCGCCACTCGTTAACGTTGGCAGGGAGGGAGACGACAGCAGCCGTTGTGCCCGTTTGCCACTTGGGTCTTATGGTGCAAGCATAAACATTTTAACTGAACAGCATTAACGCAAGCATTTTATGGCGTTGATCTTAATAATATTAAATCAGCGACGAGTTTATTAAGCGCTAAACAGATGAGAGCGACAATTGCTGTTCGAGAGGAACGCTGGGCGCTGGAGAGTGTAAAATAAGTGAAGGCAGTTTGAAGTTTGGCACATAAATTCGGCAGCAATAGCAGATTCATTCAGGGTACAGGATGCAGACGGGACATGTATCAAATTGAGCAAGAGCTGACCCTAAGCTCAATATTTAATGTTGTATTTTTATATTTTCTCATAGTTGTGCCTGTATACCCATTTTTTACATATTTCTGGCTTGCCCGGCACATTTGACTCTGCCTTCCACAAGCGAAATTGAGTCTGCGCCGCGAGGACTGCAGGCAGTGTTGAAATAACTGCAACTTTCGAGGGCATAAGTTAATCAGGGTCGAGCTTTTAAGTGGATTACACACTTGCGAGGCAGCTCTTGTTAATTGAACCACAAGTGCCGGACTCGAGGCTGCTTCAGTTAAGTTTATTTAAATAAATAAAAAAAGAACAACTCTGCTTAAAGGCTTCTCTCTCTCTCTGATCCACAGAGGTGTGTGTTGGCAAAGTTAAAGCTAAAAAGGCGACTCTAGTCCACCCGCCGCAGGCCGTTTTGCCTTGACATTTTGAAGACATTAAACTGAAACTGCTGGCCAGCCGCAGGCTAGGCAAAGGCAATGAGACGTAGAGTGGCAGCATGGCCATAGAATGGGGTCTGGCTTGGGCTTGGCATGGTTGGGAGCAGCAGATTTCCCCAAGGACAAAGACAACGCTTGAACAGGAGTTCTCGACCCTACGACTGGATGTCTGCAGTTTCGGGTTGTGGAGACTGTGTGTTCTCAGTTCCTGGGGTTCCTCGGTCAGAGGCCGGGTTCAAGTTATGAATAATTAATGTCTGTCTAGGTGTGTGCGTGTGACCGTGTGGGCGCTCTCAAAACGGAAGCTGTCTTAGCTCACAGTTTGTGTGTGTGTGTGGAGAGAGGGAGTGCCCGGGAATCGTTCGTGTGAGCGAGTTGATAATTTGTTATAATTGCCGGGGGATGCCACAGGTCAATTTTGTGGGCATTTATATAAATTTACGCAAGACAAGTCAGCAAAGCAAAGCTCTCTGTGGTCAGCAGCTACAAAAAAAAAATGTACACATATTTCTTCAGAGTTGAAAAGTCGAGCAACTAATCAAATTATGGCACTATCAAAAGGGGAAGTCAAAGGCAAGGATGGTTCTCCTGATTGCCTGAGAGCTTGTGGTTCGATAGATCTAACGCTCCATTGAGTTTAATAGCTGTGTGGTCTTCAGCCAGAATAATTGAAGCTAGCAGAAAATATTTCTGTGGACCTTGTGTTCCAGCTTTATATTGTTGCTTAAATATTCTGCAATTCTTTTGCTAGACACAAAGAGGCGAAAGTTTTACGCTAAAATCTGACAGACCCGCAGTCCTTTTTTTGGTTGATTTCTTGAGGAACCTTTTGATGACCATAAATACCTCAACAGCTTATGCTTTACTTAAGTCACCTCAGCAGTTGAGAGCCAAGTCGGTGCAGGGACAGTAGAGTAGAAGACCGGACAGGACACGAGAGGGACCAGCTGCAGTTGGCGCTGTAAGCACATTAAGCGCTTTGCCAGGTGCTCCACAGTGGGCCTGTAAAGCGTACGTACGGGCGTACGCTTGGGTGTGGCAGAGTCATTTAAGACCCATACTACGTTTAAGCGCGTACAAAAAGCAAAGGTTTTTTTCCTGTTTTTTATTTATTTTTGCTGTGTTGCAGTGCCACAATGAAATAAGCGAGTAAACTCAATAATGCACTTGGCGAACACAACACACAATTGCCTGGATCCCTGCACACTCACACACACTCACACACACGCACACTTAATGCTTTTGTAGTTGGCATTTTTTGTACGCCGACAAACGCTTTTAAGCCCATACAGCGGGCAACATACACATGGCAGATGTCGTGGCCATTTAACTGCAGAATTGTTGCTGCTGCTCCTGCTGCTGAAATGTGTGTCCTCCCACTTCGCTGCAACTTTTTATTGAGCCTCCTTTTGTTTTAAAGTTTCCATGCACCATAGATCTGTTCAATTGATAGCTCTTGGGGCACACACTCGTACTCAATGGCCAATGTGTCATTGACAGCTGGACACAAGTGGACACACTCGGATCTCTGATTTATTTCAGAATTCTTGCTCGAGTTTTGATAATTTAATTTATGAATAAATGTGATGGTATTTCAGGCGTAATATATTAAGTGCATTTTCTTTTATTTATTGAGCGAGTGCACAAAATCTCAGCAGTTAATTTTTGAGTGGGAGAGACATCACCAAAGAAGCCGCAACGTACATGCACGCGTTATAATTTACGTTTACAATAAATTTATAGCCACCATGACCACAAAATGTGGTCAGCCAGACAATAAAAGTTTTCGCCCAGATACGAGCGACCAACGTGCGGAAAAACAGCGAACCGACAGGACAGGCAAGCGAACATAAATAAATCAATTTGGACAAGCAAAAATAAAATATACAAACAATAAGCACACCAAAAAAGAGGAGCTGCCAAACTAGTTGCAAAATAGTGGCCACAGCATTTAACTTTCAGGGCTGTCAATTCAATTGAACTTCACTTTTTTTTTGTTGCAACGAACAAAAACGAAACGAAATTAGAACAATTGAATTGTAAATAGTTGAGCAGATGAAAGCAGTTTGGGCATGTGGTGGGTTTGTGGTGGAGGCTGAGGCTGTGGGTGGAAGACTAAGATGACGATGATGATGCCAAAGAGTAGCATCGAAAGATAGTCACCAAATTGAAAATGTTCGTCACGTATTTTACAAATTCACTGCGACAACCACACTCTTTCCTCTGCAGAATGAAACTCTACACTAACTGTATCTGTGAGACTGTGGGACTGTAAGACGTGCATGTATCAGTTATCTCCATCGATAGTTGCCTTTTTGCCGCAATCGGGGATGGTGGAGAGGTGTGCCGGGTGCCGGGTGCCGGGTGCCGGGTGCTGGCCGGGCAGAACTGGGTTCCTGTGGTTAGTCTGCAGCATCGATTGTTCATTGATATCTTTTGTGGCATTTTGGTTGAATTTGTTTTTAGTCTTTTTCCTTTTATTTGTTTGTGGTTGCCGCCGCCGTTGCCTCTGGGGAGCTCCACCGAGATCTTGGATTATAATGCAGGTCGTGTCCATGTTTCCGAGTGTGTGTTTGTGTGTTTGTGTGTGTGTGTGTGTGCATAAAGCCGCATTGAAATTTTGACTATTTTGAGCTGCATGGCAAACTGAATTATAGTTGACAGGTGGCTTTCATATGTACCGGTGAGTACACGGAACATAAACCATAAGAGCATGCAAGAAAAACATAGGAAAGTATAAGAAAGATATAGGAAAGTATATAGAAAGAAAGAATTTACAATTTATATTCTATTCTCTGTTTGTATACAAAATTCTCTCATTCTAATAACTTAGATTAACTGACAAAGGCCTTGTGTACTACTGCCATATACTTGCTTCAATTCCAAAAATTGTAGTTCTGGGTTGCCTTTGATTCTTTCTCTCTACTTTTGAGCTCCAAAAATCATAAAAACATTTAAAATACCAACTCACAGTCTTTGGGTTTCCGTTTCCGTGCTGCACTGCAATTTTGCGGCACATCAAGTCTTATAAAAGTCAATTTAAAACAATTACAGAATGGGTCTCGGTTGACGTGCTCTGGGGAAATTATGACGAGTATAAAAGTTTGACCAACTGGCACTAATAAGCGCTAATTTCGTTAGTCCTGTAACAGGAACTGGAGTCGGGCCCGGAGTGGGTAGTCAGCTTCCGCCGATGGCTGATGCTGATGGCATGCCAAAAAGTGAGTGGAGATTTTGAGAGAAGGACTTTCGAGATGCTGTTCGGACGATTTAACAAAGTCGCTGCAGCTCAAACACTAATTCCATTCATTAAAAAACTTTTTATGTGCCAATTTTTTTTGTTACATTTTTGTTCTAACCATGCCCCCCTGCCTTTCTGCAGTTTTGCCTTTAACGTTGCAAAGTTTAGCAGCTACTTGGCTGCCATAAAGACAAGCGGATGGATGCCTCCTCCAGGCAGAGACAAAGCCCGTCACGAGAGGCGGAGCAAAAAAGTCTGATAACTTCCTGAGTAGTCCGCTGTACATCATCAGTCACATAATGAAGTAGTTGCAGCTGCTGAAAATACTCGTAACTTTTCCAGTTTATGGCTTGTCCAGGCCCTGAGACAAATGTGTGCAGCAAGACGAGCAGGCTGACTAAATTAATTAATTTTCCTCTCAGGCTACGTGGTATGCTAAACAGCTGCTTGTTTCTGTTGTTGTTTTTGTTGCTTTCTGCCTGTTGTTGACACTGTTGGGCAACGTTCTTCACCAGCAGATGGATCATTTAAGGCGGGTTGTAACTTATGAAACTCGATAAACTCACATACGGCTGTTACAGTGATTAAATAACAATTTTAATGTGGCCTGGAATGGTGCACACATGACTGGTATTAATGCTAAAATATGTATACCAAAAAGTGAGTTTTAAATGTATGAAAATGCATAAAATAAAATATGGAAACATGCGGAATAGTTCCACAACCTAAGCTTAAATTTGTGCAGATATCTTGCTAGTTCAACGTTCGAATGAAGAGCATAATCCTGGTAAGTATATTAAGTATACGCCTCACACACACACACACACACAGAGGAGAGTGCAGGCACTTTGCCAAGCGGCATTTAATGTGTAAGTAAGTGTGGATAAGTGTATAATCGGGGGCACAACTGCAATGCAGTCATAAACTCGCACCAAATATCAATTTATTCACTTAATTAAGCACATATGTGACTGCGACATTTACCGAAGGGAGAGCAAAGGAAAGCAAAGTGCCGGCGAGGGAAGAGAGTGTAAGAAGAGGAAGCAGCTCAAAGTCAATTTCAATTTTATGAGCTGTTGAAAATGAAGAGGGAGAGAGAGAGAGAGAGAGAGCGAGAGAGAGAGCGTGAGAGCAACTTCACTTCACAACCCATTACGCTGATTGGCTTTTAATGTTTGTCAATACATTACGCAGTCAGCAGCAGAAGCGACGACGATGATGCTGATTCTGCTGAAGAGCCAGCCAGCAAGTGGAGGAGGTCGACTGCCATGTGAACTAATAGGCTGATGAGGCATAGCCAAGGCAAAGTTGATGCCTGTGGTTTCTGTGGCCAACAGAGAGTGCCCTTTAAATATGCATGACCTGTGATAACAGAGCTGGAGCGACCTTTTGCCGTGTCTGTCTCACATAAATTTCCATTATCACATGCAAAACATTTAGGCCGCTATTAATTTCATGCAAGAATTATAAGATGCACCTCACACACAGTCATGGCCCCATTTTACTCAGAGCAGCAGCTCCCTGCTAAGTGTGCCTCCACGTCCTGCAATTCTTTTTGCTTTGTGTGCATAATTTATATTTCAGCAAGGGGTCAGCGAGAGACTTAGCAACAGCAGGTTCAGCTGACGAAAGTAAACCAGAGGAGAACAGTGGAAAAATTGCATGGAAAATATTTCTAAATATTATTTTAGCTTGCAGACTCCTTGCAGATTTTGTCAGGCAAAAATCTCTTTTAATTTGTTTTTACAAAAGAATTGCAATCCCAATTATTGTTAGGCAGCAATAACTTTAAATGAAATTTGGTGAACAATTTTGCTGTGGCTTTCCACAGTTCATCAGATGACGAGAACAACAACAAAAATAATATAAAAATGCAGAGGAGTAGCAGCCGACTAGCAGTGCCATGCATCATCATCATCATCATATACAGCAGGAGCAAAGAGCAGCGGGAGCAGTGGCAGTGCCAACAGAAACTACACCAACCAGCTATACTAACTAAATCCTATTATGAACTTTGAGCTTATGGAAAGACATCCTCTGCCACATGGACAAACTTGGCAGAGCTGGAACCACTCCTGGCCCTCTATGAGTGCGAGTATGTCTGGCTGTGTGTGTGTGACTGTTTGTTAGCAACATTTACACTTCTGCATAATTAAGTTATGTGCAGGGCACTACAACATACACATGCAAATATATAAACATACTGGGGTTTACCTTTGGTCTGACATTTTGCGGCTGGCCATAGTTTTTCATTGCGCATCCGCCGCATATATACCGACGCATGGTTGTTTGCCGCTTTAATTGTTATAAATTATGTATAAATTAGTTGGCTCTATTAAAGTATCGCACTGTAAGTGGCAGTAACTGAGCAAGAGCCAGGGGTAACCCAAGGAAGCGCACTGCAGCGCACAGCTGTTGGCAATTTGAAATTTCTTGCTTGGTTTGGCACAATTTCCGTTCTCCGTTCGCTCTCAATTTATCAGCTGAATGTCGACGCTGTGCATTGAAAACAATTGGCAGCTAATTTTGCTGAAAATTCCATTCCATTTCATTTTTTATGCTCGCTTTGTGCAACTGAGTAACGATACCGGACTGAGATGCTCAGACGCTGGGTCCTTGCTGGCACTCACTCCTGTAGCCACAGACATCCAGGCAGCCAGGCAGCCAGGGAGCCAGGGAGCCTGAGAGCCAGTCAGGCGATTGCCTCTGGCTGGCGGTTTCATCTACATTGCAATTGTAAAATGCAAAATACATTTCTAATGAATATTGAAGTGTGAAATTTGAATTGATTGCATTTGATTTGTGGATTTGCAGCTGGATATTTAATTTGAGGCGTTCCATTGATGCCGAGAGGATTGCAGCCGAAAGGGAGATGTCAATGGAACTGGTAACAATTCAGGAAGCCTTTCCAAAATCAATTGAGCAGGCAGTCAGGCAGGACACTGCCAATGCATTACGACGATGTTTGCAATAAAGCAAACATTTTCACCATTTTTTTAAATTTTAATTCATTTTCTACTACTGGAATGACCCCTTGCAGAAATGGATGGAACTGTGAGCTAACTTTACTCGTATTTACTGTATACAATTGTTGGACGTCTGCTGGGCTGTAACTGGAATTAAGTTAAGAATATGCAACACATTTCAGTATCCGAACAATCGGGCGACGAATATGTTAGCTTCGGATGCTTCGTCGGATCTGCACAGTTGTTGGCCACTTCTGGGAGCGCATTACAACATCCTCCACGAGCTTGACAAACTGAAAATAAAAAAATTACATGTGTGAATTTAGTTCATATATGTTGTTTAGGATTCTACTAACCCCCCCTGAAGATTATCCCTTTTATGGGAAACTAATTCATTCATTGCAGTGAGTTAGTAGAAAGAATTGTAGAAAGGCTTGGTGTTAAATGTGGAACATATTGATTTTTCTGTGCTTGATTATAACAATCTGTTTTACACATTTACCCTAATCAAAGGAAAGAAACCTTTTAATTATGTTATGTAATATTCGAGTATTCCACTACCGAGTACCTTCACCTTTAGCTAGTATTAATTTTTAATATGAATAACTTTGTTATACCAGATAATTAATTGGAATATAAAATATTTGGAATATAATGTTTGTTTCATGGAAAGATTTTCAAATGAATAACAAAAAAGTAGCTGATGTTTCATACATTTTAGACGTGGTTAAAAAAATAAGCAGTTTATGCTTTTACTGTAACGAACGAATTAGTTTCCAAGTGTTATATTAAAACTATAAAAGTGGCACTGTATCGAGAGTTTTCACTTCAAATGCAAATATGATGTTTCTGTATAAGTATCTGCTCTTAACTTTGATTTTGAGAGCCTGGTTTATCTTCTCCTACAGTACATTCACGTATGAGATTAAAAGTATGTACACACCTACATAATCAAATATTATAACACGTAAGCATGTTCACTTTTAGGTTGCAGGGACAACACAGGATTTTGTAAAGAGAAATGTCCAAAGAAAATGTTGTTTGTACGAAACAGAGGGGACTGCATGGATAAATCCACTGGGAAGATGCTCCTGTGTTGTGTCACACATTATTGACCTACTGTTTATTTTTTCAAAGCACAACTACAAATGTATAAAACGATTACACATATTTTTGTAATTCATTATATTTCTGGTAACATTTTTTTTTATTATTTCAATAGTTTTCCAATTTCGCTGTAGCGATTAAATAAAATACATCTATTTTTTTGTAATTCATTTGAAAATGTTTTCATGTATCAAACATTATTAATTAAACTGAAAAATAACAAACGAGCGATCGGTACGAAAGAAAGGTGTGGGCACAGTATAATCAATTTTGTCCACATTATCCTTTAATTCATTCGTCAACCCATTAGAATGTGTGGCTAAATATGATTCGGAAATTCATTCGCTGCAACCCACAAGGGAGTGGCAATCTTTGTGCTACTTAGCAGAATTTATATCGCAACTTTGCAATCATGGGATAGCGCGAAATTGTTTTGCATAATTGCAAAAGTATTGCAATTTGGCATCTTCCGCTTTTGGAATAGAGTCTACTTCAGAATTTAATTGAATTATCCAAGCTGCAGTCGCAACGAAATCCTTGCCAAGCCACAGGACAAGGACGCAGTTGCCAAGAGAAGAGGCGAGGCGAGGAGAACAGAGAACAAGAATTCAGGCTACGAGCCCAGAGTCATGTTTTAATAATTTCTGCAGCAACAATAACGCTGGCGAAATTCAATTTTATTCAATAATACTAGCTGCTGGCTCTGCCAGTTTTGTGGCCGCCAACTTTGGTCCCTGCTTCGGCTGCAACCGCACCGCAGTGGGCGCCTGCACTGGAATCTGAACCTGAAGTCTGAATACCCATTGGATGGTAAACACACACACACACACACACACACACACACACACACACATACACCTGCTCCTTCTTCTTTTTCTCCAATGGTTTGGTTTGTTTGAGTTGGCCACAAAGTTGAAGCCAAGTTTTGGCTAGTTAAGCCAAAAACCGCCATCTGCCGCATACTCGTGTATATGGAAATTGGGTCGCCGAAGGATCGGATCCACTCCTTAGCTGTCACACGCTTTGCTGCCTTGTGCATACTCGTATACGGAGCTAGTCTTTGTTTGCCCAATAATCTACTTGAGCTCTTCACATATGTATTCCCAGTCCGCCCCTTTGTTGATTTTCTGCCGCAGCTGGTGCGAAGTTTGTGTCAAAGCCCCCAAAGCTTTGATTTGTTAATTTGTTATTGGTTAGCCATCGCCACGGGCATTGGCTTCGCCACCAGGGAACTTGGTTCTTAATATAATTTGGCTCAGATTTAATCTAGTTTTTAATTGACTATTTTTAGAGAGTCTTTTGCTTATATATGAACTGGTTAAGGAATGGCTTTAAAGCTGTACTCTCTGCTCGGATTAAAGTTCGAGCCACTCGTTGGCACTTAAATATTCATTTCTGGGCCTCAGCCAGCTGCTGCTGCTGCTGCTGCTGCTCCGATACCCGAGACGATCACAAATTATATGTTAATGCAATTGTAATTGATACAAATTTGATTTCGCAAGGAATACAAAAAATATGTAGCAGCCTGATGCTGCTGACGGCATTGGAAATGAGAAATCATTTGAAGGAGGCAGCTGAGCAGCCTTTGTGTGTGTGTGTGTGTGGGTGAGTGTGTGGCAAACTCGCATGGCTGGCATATTGTGCCACCACGTGTCAGCTGCCAGTTGGGCAGCTTGGGTGTGTGAAGATTGGAGCCAAGGGCCGGGGTTCTGGGGGTTCAGGGCGTTTGGGGTCTCGAGGTGGCTGCCAGTGTTTCCCTGCAAATGCTTGAGATAACGTAATAATTTATATGAACTTTACAGGGTCATTAATTTAAAGCTTATTCAGTTGTTCAAGATTTATTAAATTAACTCAAGTTGTGGCAGCCGAGCCGAGTGGGGGTGCAGCGGCAGGCGGACGCTCGATTTCGAGGAAATTTAAGGCAGAGCTGATAGAAAGTGGGATACTAATCGTATGAATTGGAGTGAAATGAATTGATATTAATGGACATTAATTGAAGAGTGTAGTTCGTTCAATGCCGCTTCATTGAAATGAAATGAAAATTAAATTTGACTATTCAATATGATTATTAAATCGTTACTGTTTTAGCTTCAACCTTTAGCCTCAGATCGCATCAGATATACTCGAAATACAATGGAATTAAATACGTTGTTACTTTGAATAGTAGTAATAATACAAAATACGAAAATGTTGCTGCGAAAATGCGAAGGAGCGACCGAAAGCCAAAACCAAATGCAATCCAATTTATTGCAAAAAACCGCATTGAGTTGGTCGGAATGGGGGCGTGTCTGGCAATGGAAATCACCTGCTCAGGTGAATGTTGCTATAAAAACAAAAATACCAACAACTGCGCAAGATGGAGCAGCATTTTGATGGAAACGCTGCAATTTGGCAGTGCCGAGAGGTGGAGGCAGTGAAAGGATATCAAATACCAGACCCAAGCCCAGACCCAGGGAACGAGGGAACGAAATGTAAGAGGAATATTCATAGAATTGCAAATGCTTGACTGGCAACAACCACAGAGAATGCATTGAATTGAAAATGTTTGAATTTATATTGCAAGTTTGACTTGATTGAGGCACTTGATATCGTTTCCTTTTTGACAGAGCCGGCGACGACGCCTCTTGACGGGTCCCTGGCCCGCCCTGGGCACTGAGCGGATGGATTACCAGTGGACCAACCACATAGTGGGGCTCAACTAACGAGCTTCGAACAACCACTCATCAATGGGAAACGGTTCCAGTCCGCAAGTAGACACGATGCGTTTTTTGGTCATCGAAAATTAACTAAGAAAACTTTAATATGAGTTTGAATTAATTTATGCATGGAAAATAATATTGCTAGACATTTGATTTTATTTAATAAAAATGTTAAGCTTAAGCTGGATTTATTTATATTTATTTTCATTTAATGGACAATTATTTTCCAAGTATCTATTTGACCATAAATCGCTTAATTCGTGTAATAAATCAGAATGAGAAGCATTTAAACAATTTCATATTATTGAAATACGTATTTTCTTTAACTATAAACATTTGTTAAAGCTTGCCCCTGGCTATGATGCCATCGATATCACAGAAAATTGTTGGGCACTGCAAACATTAAGTTTTGGTGCTCAACAAAATCATTTCACTGTGCGATGCTTAGCTTTTACGGCCGGACAGAACGTACTGTACTGTGGCAGAGCTACTGAATAATAAAAGTCACAGTTTAAACATTAATTAGAGCCATCGATGCGCAGCCAACGAAAATGCCCATTGATAGGGCCATGGGCCACGTGTCCTGCATGCCAAATGGGAATCACGTAGGCGAATCCTCCATGCAGCGACCTGTTTAATGTGGATAACAATTTTAGCTCAGCTTTTGGAGACTTTTTGTGTCATCCGCAGAATGGCCAGAAACTAACCGCAAAGACAAAATCCGTCGGCAAAGTTTTTCTCGTGGGAGTTTAACACCGTTTTTGGTATGCGTGGTCTGCGTTGATTTTACGACATTTTCCTCAGCGATTTCCATAAGTTTCAGCCCGAGTACCAGTGGGTCCTTGCCAGACAACAGACAACAGCCAACAGCCAACTCCATAAAATTACAAGATACTACCTGTTAGAAGTTTCTCTCCGCTGAAATTCCAATAAACTCACTGCACAATATTAGTTTTATGCGGAACACACACAAGCGAAGAAAATACTAGTAATACTCGTATAAAACGACAAAAGGAACAAAACTGACAAAAACATAAAAGAAAGGAAACGAAAAACAAGTCATGTCTGTGCAGAAAAAAACTGCGAAATCATTTAAGCAAACAGTCACAGACTTTGGCAGTCTCTCGTTGGATCTACGATACCTGCATGGAAAACTTTCTGCTATGTGACTTTCAGAATTTTTAGTTTTGATTTCAAGAGTTTGCCCAGGTTTTCTTACCCATTGTTGTTGGGAGCTTAGTTTTGGTTTTGGCTACGGCTTTGGCTTTGGCTGCAAATATTGCAAGTTGTGCCAAAGTCACGTGCAAGTTTACAGACATTCGGTTTGGTCCTGTTCTGCCCTATCCTGGCACGGGCACTTGGCACCCTTAAAAAGGATTCCAGGCTCTAGGTTTTTGTTCGTTTTCCCAACACTTTAAACTAGCCTTGGGCTGTCCAAAGTGCTGCTCCTCCATTAGTTAGCTCAAGAAACCTTTATTAAAGAATTGTCCATTCAAGTTCTCCACTAAGACTCAGTCTCAGTTGTTT